TGGATGTGCTCCTGGTCGTGGTCAGGGCGCCGGGATAGGGCATCTGCGACCCGATTAGTCTCACCCTTGATGTGCTCAGTGGTGAAACTAAACTCGGATAGGTCGCACCACCAGCGAGCCTGTCGAGGAGTGAGCTTCGGCTTTGTCAGAAAAGCCTGGACAACAGAGTTGCCCGTGCGCACCGTGAATGGTGCCCCGTGCAGGTAGTGACGCCAATGCCGAGCGGCATAAACTACTGCGAGAACCTCACGTTCATCGGCAGTGTAGTTTATCTCGGCGGGCAGGAGCTGACGGGAGTAGAAGGCTATCGGACAATCACCTGAGCGAGACTCGACAGTGCCGTCCTCGGCGATGGTAGGAGAATAGTCAATAGAAGGCTCGTCAGTAGCTGGACGAGTAGGCGTCAGTCGGGAAGCAGTGGTAGGGGTAGGTGGTGGGAAGCGAGGGATACGAGGATGAGAGGAATCAGGAGATGAGGGGAAGACCTGAGAAAGCACTGCTCCTACAGCGAAGTCTGACGCATCGGTGGTAAGGATAAAAGGGCGGTCAAATCGGGTAGGTGAAGAACCGGTGCGCATGTCACCGCCTTCTTGAGGGCGCGGAAGGCGTCCTCGTGGAGGGGTGTCCAAGCCCAGGGTGGGTTCTTCCGGAGGAGGGTGGAGGTAAGGACGTAGGAATACCTAGCGTATCCCCGGATGAAGTTACTATAGTAGATGGTCAGGCCTAGGAAGCTGCGAAGCTGCTTGGCGGATGTGGGAGCGGGCCACTCCGCAAGAGCAGTGATCTTCGCGTCGTCCATGAGGAAACTCTGGTCAGACACGTAGTGTCCTAAGAAATCTACTTTGTGCTGGGCAAAGCGGCACTTGCTTAGCTTGGCGTAGAAGCCGTGTCTGCGCAAGCGGTCAAAGACGTCGCGAAGGTGTCTGAGGTGCTCCTCAAGGGTACGACTATAGACCAGGATATCGTCGAGGTAGACGAGAACGTACTGCTCCAGGATGTCCCTGAAGATGTCGTTCATCGCCCTCTGGAAGGTAGCGGGTGCGTTGGTGAGGCCGAATGGCATCACCGTGATCTCGTAGTGGCCGAATCGCGATCGGAACGCGGTCTTCGGCTGGTCGGCTGCAGCGACGCGGATCTGATGGTAACCGCTACGAAGATCAATCTTCGTAAAGAAGCGGTTGCCTGCTAGGCGGTCRAACAGCTCATCGGAACGAGGCATGGGGTAGCTGTTCTTAACCGTGTAGCGGTTGAGGCCGCGGTAGTCGATGCAGAGACATAGGGCCTGCAGGCCCTCGTTTTCAGTCTTTCAGGCTAAAACCAGACGGGGCCTGTAAGCCCTTATTTCTAGGCTTTTAGGCTGAGAATGCGGGACAGGCCCTACAGGCCCGTGTGGCTACGCAGCATGCCACACGTAGCCTTGTCGATGATATCATCAAATGGCTGTTGAGGTTCACGGCCTCGGTGTAGTTTGTAGGGTGTGAAGCCAGTGGAGGAGTGGACAAAAGTGTTGTACGCAAGTTGTGCACGACTGAAATGCAGATCCCAGTCCTGCTGATCCGGACTAATCATAGGACGCAGCAGCTAAAATAGAATCTGGTTCATCACTTCAGCCTGCCCATTGGCTTCAGGGTGACGACTAGATGTCATATCCAGACGTGAATGGAGGTAGTCCCTACAATAGGACTACCACTCATGGCTACAGAAACGGGGATCTCGGTCACTGAGAATGGAGGTGGGTGGTCCATGGTGTGTAACCCACCGGTCAGCAAATGCCGCCTGAACGGTAGGGACTGCATACTTGGAGAACCTATCCACACAAACCATAACCTGATGCATACCACGAGGAGTGGTCCTGCCCAGATCAGTAAAATCAATAGACACTGATTGTGCAGGTGCCTCAAGGATGGGAAGTGGTTTGAGTAGGCCAAGGGGAGGTCTGCGTACGACCTTGTTCCGTTGGCATAGCTCACAGGTTTCAACATAGTGCAGCAGGTCACTCCTCATCTCGTTCTTGAAGAACCGGTCTTCTCCCAAAAAGAAGTGACAGGGCCGCATACGGGGGCTCCAAAATGACCAGGAGCATCATGACACTCGAACATAAAGAGTGTTCTAAGTTTGCAATTCTGAGGAATGCACAAACTTTCCTCACCTCTACTGCAAGTGTACAACAGGCCTGAAACCAGAGTGTAACCTTGTTCAGAGGCACAATCGGCCTGCAGGTTCCTCACAATAGGCCCAAAAATCGGGTCTTGAGCAGTAGTTGGGCAATGGTCCGACAGGTCTTCTCCCAAAAAGAAGTAAAAGAGATCAGGAAGAGAGTGTCAGGCCTACGAGAAAGGGTATCTGCCACTCGATTGTAGCAACCCTTCTCATGCTTCGGTTCAAAGTCAAACAGGTCAATGAACTAATGTAGTGGGCAAGCTTTGTCATTGAGCTCTCCCTGGGACTTCATCCACTAAGGGTGGAGTGATCTGAAAAGATCTTGAGGCGCCTGCCCCACTAGCGGTTAATGGAAGGCCAAAAATTCGGGGTTTTTCGCCACGTCACTACAAGCAATGTTGTCGAAACTTTTGCGAACAAACTATGCAGGGTCATAATACAAACATAAAAAAACAATCAGGCAAAAAAAAAACGAAAAAATCAAACTCAGGAGCACTATACATCCCTCTTCGGAGTAGCTTTCGGAGTTCGCCAAAGCTTTTTTCGAGTCTAGTGTTTTTGCTAAGTTTTTTGTTGTTGCTTCAAATATGGCGAAACTGAATACAGATATACCCTAAAGCACATATATAACAGGCAAAAAGAAAAACTGAAAAAAAAGTAAACATTCAGGGAAATATGACAGTTTCGTCGAATTTTGGGCCTTCCATTAACCAACTCTCGCCTACCCAGGGGAAAGTGTTTCCAATGCTTGAGTGTTGACACAAGGGCATAGAGCTCTTTCTCATAGATGGAATCCCGCAACTTTGTGACTTTGATCTTCTTGCTCATGTATTCGATAGGCTGCAAACCATTCCCGCTATCCTGCTAAGTACTGCCCCTTCACCATACTGACAAGCATTAGTGGTTAGTACAAAAAGGCAAAGTAGGACCAGGTAACTTCAGTACTGTCCTTGAGACGTGTGAAGACCTCTTGACAGTCTGATGTCCAAAGAAAGGGAGTGTCTTTCTTTGTGAGGTCACTCAGGGGTGTTTCAATAGATTAGAAGTTCTTAATGAACTTCAAATAGTACGATGCAAGACCCAGGAAAGACCGAACATCACGGACTTTTAAAGGCTTCGGCCAGTCCTGAATAGCAGCAACTTTCGTTGCTTCAGGAGCCAACCCCTCTCCAGAAATGACATGACCCAAATAGACAACAGAGTTCATTCTCAAAGAGGACTTCTCTTTGTTTATCTTATACTGGTTGTCATATAAGGCCTGAAGGACACGAGCCAAATGATGCGCATGCTCCTGGATAGTATGACTGAATATCAGGATTTCATCCAAATAGACGACTACAAACTTGTCCAGGTAAGGCTCGAGAATGCGGTGCATCTCTTTGTGGAAAGTTCCACGGGCATTGCAAAGACCGAATGGCATAACCAGGTACTCATATGTACCATACCTGCTTTTGAAGGCTGTCTTGTGGACATCACCTTCAACCAATAGCCAGATTTGAGATCAATCTTCTTGAGGATAGTGCAACCCTACACCATGTCCAACAGATCATCGATCCAAGGAAGAGGCTTTGTAGACTTCCTCGTGATCTTGTCGAGTCCCCTGCAGTCCACACACAGTCTGAACTCACCATTTCCCTTTGGAACAAAGTGAACTAGTGCCCCAAATTCGGATGTGCTAAGACGTATCTAGCCGTTCCTGGTTAGGGTCTCTAGTTGTTCCCTGAACTCGTCAAGTTCAGCAGGGGACATCCATTAGACCCGGCTCTTGGGAGGGACCGCGCCAGGAAGGAGCTCGATCTTATGCTTGGTCTGCCTACGGACAAGTCCAGTAGGCTCCTGCATAAGGTCTGAGTACCGGTCAACCACTTGCTAAATACGAGAGGGACAGGAAGCAGTCGACACATCAATCTGTTTAACATAAGCTACAAACAAACGGGTGTGGTTAGTTTGGCGTGAGAGCTGAAAGAACTCATGCGCTCAGATACAATAACAACTACTGACCGGATGATACTCATCAGTGAGCATACAGGGACGGTACACCCCTCGTCAATCAGGTAGCTCAACCCTAGGGATCCGCCAGTCGATCCTGGGGTTGGTGGCCCCAAGCCACTGTAGGGAGAAACAAGGTCAAAGGGTACATTGGGAAACACACAGAAATTCAGGCGCTGCCTGATTTCTCCCTGCCTGTCAAAGACTACAGGTAAACTTTTGACAGCAGTAGTGATCTGGACTGTAGATGAGTCGCCTATGCGAACCTCGATAGGTTGTCGCAGCTTTACTAGTCTCTGATCCAAGTGCAGCCTGGTGACTTCTTGGGAGACAAAGTTGTGAGTAGCCCCACAGTCCAAGAGCGCTTTGAACCTGGCCCCCAGGATAGAGGATCGAAGCAGGATGAGATCCGGCCTGCAAAGACAGGAAAAAAATCAGCAAGGACCTCTGATTCATCCTCCTCCCACGTCTCACCCATATCAATGTCCTCATAAGTGAAGAACCCTGATGCTGCAACTCCAAGAAAAGAATCTGTGAGAGATAGTGAAGATTCAACTTCATCAGAAGATGAATCAACACTTGTGGAAGGAGCTGCTGATTCCACCTCTCTCCACTCTAGTTTTTTTAACTAGAGCCTGAAGAGCTGCGAAGCACGCTGGAACAATCCTTCGAAAAGTGACCCCCCTCGCATCTCAGGCAAACTCCCTTGTCCTTCCTCTTCCTCCATACTCCCTCCTGGATCCTGAGTGCATGCCTGGGGAAAGTGGAAGCATCAAGGGGGTCAGCAGGCCAATGGACATCCCGTGGTAATGAAACTCTCTGGACTGTAGGGAAAGAGGCACGTCCTTTTCCTTTCCCCTTGCTGCTGGTTGATGCTCTCTGAGCGGGGGCCTTACCCTTTGTCAAGCCCATCTGAGCATCAGCCAAGGCAAGAACAACTGGATCTGCAGCAGAGGATGAGGTAGTCCCAGCTGGAGGGGTCCCACTTTGAGATGCTGCCTCATCATCTAAACTAGAAGTTGCGCAAAGAGAGTACCCTTCCTCCTCCTTCGCCCCTTCGAGGAGGGTCTCTTCCTTTCTTCAGAAGGTGCTTCCTGGACATGGAGTTTGACTCCAAATCTAGGGATGCTCTGCCAAAGGACCGCCAGTCCTTATGGCCCTAAGAGAATAATGCAAGCTAGTATTCCCCAGACGCTGCTCTCAAGAAATGAATGAGCTCATCTTGCTCACGCATCTCTAACCCAGGAGTCGATGTCAGACTCTCAAAGGTTAAGTACAATTTGGACAAGGAGCCATCCCATTTTTTCTGGCCCAGGCGGACAATTTTGTTTGTTGCCCTTTTGGCTTGCTCCTTGTCTGCAAACCGGTCATTAAGAGCCTGCAGAAAACCGGACACCCCTAATTTTTGCCCCCGTTCAGACATCTCCAGTCCTTGCTTGTTGGAAGTGGAGGTGCACCATTTCAGTGCAGTCCTTTCCAAGCGAGCAAGGATTGCACTCACCTTCACATCCACATCACATTTGAACCCACTCAAGTAGGTTCTCTGTGCGGTTACCCAATCTGAAACATCCACCTTTAGGTCAAACCTGCGAATATAGGTGGAGGGGTGAGCTTGGGCCACTGCAGGTCAAATGGACCTAAGCGCTGTGAGGCGGCTGTTGACCTGGGTGTAGAGGCTGGAGATGGTGGACTGGATTGTGGGGGTTGTTGGGGGTCTGTCTTGGGACTCCCAGGAGGTGCAGGAATGATCAGGTTGGAAGGGATCTTAAGGTGTGTCCAGAGTCGATCCAGTTTGCAGGAGATATCCAACTTTTTTTAGAAAGCCGTGTCTTTCCTCGAGACTGGTAATTCTAGCATCCCAGTTAGTAAAGTAGCATCCTGCAGGAGGACGAACTCTGCCATGTCCTTACTCTACTGACTAGAAAATCCACTCACCCTGATCTTCTCAATGTCTGTCACTAGTTGTTTTGTCCTGGTCTCTTTTTGGTCTAC